TGAATTATGAAATAATTGAATTGAATTGAATTGAATTATGAAATAATTAAATTGAATAATTAAAAAGCAATTTTCAATGTTTAATAGTATAATCCATAGTTATTTTTATAATATTTTTAAACTAATTTCTATCTAATCTATTAAGTAAGATAGAAATATATCTTAGGTATTAAAGTGAAAAATAAGGTGTTTAAAAAATTGCTCGTATTCTTTTGGTACGTAATTTTCAGAGAAATTAATCTAAACTTCATTTCTTCAAATTTAACTCTTGATAACACAATAGAAGAGGCATTCGTACATCTAAATATATACATCGCCATATGTAGATATCTCTAGAAGCCGCCCCGCGCGATAAAGCTTCGCGATACAATATAACGGTCTTGTTAAAATACGCCTACTACGAGATATAAGTGAGTCGTAGCATGCAGAAAGTTGAGTGAAATAATACCGAGGGAATTGAGTATTTTAATCAAGTGTTCGATTATTTTAACAAGCAAATAATTTTAACGCTTTCATATTTAGTATTACATTTTAATTCTGAAAAATTTTATATACACAACTCTCACTAATGCGTTATTAAAAACTAAGGTCCAATTATAAAAGTCATAAATTATATTTTCTCTTTCCAATAACTAAATACTTTTTCTATATGTATATTCTAGGTAGTAAACTCTACAATGCTTATACAAGCAATATCATATTACATTACAGTTACAAAGCCTGTATACTGTAACAGATTATTTTTAGTCACGATTAGGATATTTTGACGCGCGGTCAGAGTAAAGAGAAAAGAAGCACGATGCATAAGAGACGGACGCTTCTTGCCTCAGCACACGTCGTCACACCTGACGTCACATACTCGTTAGGGGGCAGATGGCCCCCCTCTCAAGCGTGACGTTGGGCTTACGGGGTACCTGGCGGCGTCTATCTATGGGGCCTTCCCCTTACTCTTTGTCTCTTTTTCTTTCTCGCTCTCTTACTCTCTTTGACATCCCATAAGGCGAGGCAAAATAAAATAAAACTCCCGCGAAGGGAGTTCCCTTCTCTTCGCGCACACACGCGCAGCTGCTCAGGTAGCACGAGCTACTTCCACATTAGAGGACGGAACTGCCATGGGGTGCCCCATTGGTGCCCCATAGAAATTCCGTCTGGCCAGACGCTCGTCAGCTCCCTCGGCGAATACGCCATCGAGGGGGAGCGAGCAAGAAAAAAGAAAGAGGTTATCAAGGTGACGGAACTACGATCGATTTGTAGAGGTATTAGTATACGGAAGCGATTCGTGCGTGCACATATACAGGGAACGCGATCACGGAGGGGAACGTACTTCCGAATGCCACTATATACGTGCATTTGTCACGCATCGAAAAGCATACACGCGCAATTATCTCTAAAGCGAAAAGAAAGAACGTTTTTCTTTTTTTTTTTGTAATATTATAAAATATACGTAAGCATATTATAAGGTAGCAATATACAAATTTTGCTTTCCTCGTATACTATTTTCCTCGTATACTATTTTCTTGATTTATTAAGACGAACTTTTCGAACAGTAAAATAAATTTAACTTCCGAAATTAAAGGCAGAGTATTATCTTTTTTTTTTGTACTTTTTAATTATTCAGATTTTCTCAAATCTTCTTTTAGAAATCTGTTTCTATAAATTTTACCCTAGAAATCCTTTTAGCGAAGATAACGATTTCTAATATGCTTCGCACATTAAAATATGTATAAGCTATATATATAATTCAATATCTTTATATATTTTCTACGAGCTGCGATTTTCTCCGCACAATGTACCGATAAACGAATAATTGGCGTGGGCGGAATGATCAATGCGCTGTCGACGTATCGACAAAGATTTTCGGACAATCATAGGCGGGTATTATATACTCTGATTTTACCTAAAGCTACCGAGCCGTCTTGTTAGCGTGACTAAAAGTGGCCGTAGAAATAGGCCAAAGAAATTTTTCTTTGCCCATGCCCCAAACTGACCTTTACTCGAACTGTAAAGGGCCAACTAAAGACTAATTGCAGCGCGAGCATGCAGTGGAAAAGATTTACAAGGTGACAAACGAGTGCGGCCATTCGCATTATACGATGTATTTCTGCGCAAAGTGATCCCGCTCTCAAACGATCTTTGAACCTGGCCTAATAACGAGGCCACGATCGGCCGAGCCTTTTCACGCCTCGGTTAAATGAAGGCAAGGTCGGGCAGGCGATTTTTGTCGTAAATCCCACTAATTCTCAGCACGAGACATCCGGTCCGGTCTCTCGACAAGGCGTCGCGGGGGCGTTTCGTGTGGTAAACATAATGTCGAGCCTGTAAAACCTGTCCCCTGTCCCTTTTAGCATCCCTTCCTTTCATTTCTTCGCAGCGCAGCGCGTGCCAGCCTGTGGCTCGGCGAATCTCAGCTTTTCCTCCGACAACACCTGGGGATATATATCTTTCCCTGGTCGCAGCATCTTTCTCTTCTAGAATTACGCGTCCCGCTTTCATTATGCATTCCGCGATGTTTATATCATCCTATGTTCGCGTCAGTTATCAAAATAAATATTTTTACGCACGCATTAAAAGTCCTCGTGATTATTAAACATTCAAATGACCGATACTTAAAAGAATTATTTCTCTTTGCTACGTACTTCATACATAAAACACACATTGAGAATTAATTAACGAATTTAATGAAAAATTTCTATTCCTTTTTCTGCTACAATTCGTATTATTAATATTAATTAAAAATACATTCGGTAAACATAATTTTAACATAAATTTTTATATAAATAACGGGAATAAAAATACTAAAATAATCAAGGTAAACAATTTGCTCATTTTTATATTAAAAATTTTAGTCTCCGCGTATAGCTCATGCGTAAAAATACTTTATGGCAAATTTATCAGCAAAAGTAGAATTCATGCATCTTCTCAGAGCACACCAACGCACAGCATTATCCCTTTGCGTATCGCTATCCATCCACTCGAGTCGTCGCTCGTGCGCGCTTAAACCGTACGATCTCTCAGCGCAAGGTACGATAAAAAAGAAAAAACTAGACGAACGAATAAAGTATTAGGGAGCGATCAGAGGGGAAAAAAAAAAAAACGTAACTGTTGTCGGTGCCTGCGCTTCCCCTGGCCGTCGTTAAGTGCGGAATTCTGTTCGCGGCAGATTGGTCGATCCTCTCAACGGTATCCGGCACCAATTTCGAGGCTCTCGTCTATAACGGGAGATTAAAAGTACTAATAACGAACGAGCAGGGAGAGAACCGTTCACGGGCTGCGAACTACCGCTACACATCGTCTTTCGCCGCATGACGCACAATGACTTTCGAAACATATGTCGAACGACGATGTTCTTCCTTCGTTCACTCGACGCCGGCCCGCATCGAGATGCGTTATTAGTGTGCATGAGGGGGTGGCGAGGTGCGGGAGAAAGTTTTGTCGGTCGAACGACCGCTTTTGAAAAAAGAGGGAAAAGCGATCGAGGCGTACGGCAAGAGGGGTGAGAAAATCCATTTGCACGTTTTAGACCGTCGTCGGTTTATAAGACACGTGGGTGGAAGAAGGCGGATAGGGCACATAAGTGGGGGGAGGATCGAGCCATCTGGTTCCAGGTTGCAGCCTACCAGGTCCTACCGTACGAAGGCATGCCTCGCGCCATGCGAGGGTCCTTTAAATCCACCAGAGACACGCACCTTGAGACCTGTCTCGGCCAAGGACCCTCGACCGCTCGGCCCTTTAAACATCGACACCAGAGCGAAGACACCGAGGCGCCCTCGTGCCTTCCGCCGTCGACGACCTCGAGGGTAACCGGATGAATAGTGTACGGCTCTTTTCATTTCCGACTACGCTCGCGTGTATTCTTTCATTCGGTCGGCCTCAATTAAGCTCAATGATCGCGTCTACTATTTGTATCATGTTCAACAGCTTTAACGTTACTCTATCGGAAGACTTACATACCGGATACAAATAAATCATTCTATCGAATGACGTGAAGTATAAGAAATTATGTCTAACTAATTTTTTTGTATAGCATTATAAGCTAAGTATTTAATATATATTTAGTATTTAATATAAATTTTTTTTAACGCGGCTGAGTACACGTGTTTTTAAAAATAATCAATACGATCGTAACGCCAGACAGTCCTCCCTAGCTATCTATGCTATCTATCGACCATACGTGAACAGTATTCGTGCGTAGCGTTCGTGCTGTTTGCGCACGAAGATCAGTGTTGTGTTGACAATCGACCGACAAAGCCAAATTAATTTGCAAATCGCTGTTCAAGCGAATCGAGGAATTCCGCCTATTATGATCGCGAGAGAAGGGAGAAGATGACACGCGATAAGAGAAGCTGAAGCAAAAGACACATGTCTTTGAGCGCATATTAAAAGATTGAAAAAAAAACTATAATTCTAAATGCTACTAATATCTTTATCTTGCAATTGTTGTATTCTACTTTTCCTTTTTTGACACAATAACTTTGTCTTGATCCATTGAGAGAAAAGAGATGCTTTGCAGATCCTTTGCAATCAGTTGTGCATGCATTGTTGACTATGTCACACGTATACCACTGCCATGAGAGCGCAGTGACATGGGGCACGTGCGGGGGGAGTCGATCCATGGGGACGAACTGACAGTGAGACTTTTATTAGGGAAGGAATCAGCAAGCACATGATTATGTACCTTAGAGCGTCTTCGTCTCCCCTTTTAAATAACTCCCCCCCCTCCCCTCCCCTCCCCGTATTGACATCCTTTTCTCTTTTTCCATGGACTCGACGCCCAGCATCATTGCACGAGGACGAGGCGGTCGCCACAACGCGGAGCTGCATTGTCAATCCCCGACTCAACATTCATATATGCATGCATTGGCGTAGAGCAACGAGAAATTCAATGGCATGATTACAAAAGCCGATCGCTAGTTCCGCTTTGTTTCGCCCGGACGAGAACTAAGTTTCGTCCGAAGAGTGTGTGTTCTATACCTTTCACGAAATGAATTAATAATACTTACGTTGTACGTTGCCGTGGCGGTGCGAAAGGTGCCGTCCCCTGAAACAAAAAAGTAATTAATTAAGTTTGGTTTTAAGTTAATTATACCTTATCAAATTTTAATAATAATTTATAAACTAGAAGTATTTTTACATTTGTCCATTTTAATGATCTCTCGCAGTACAAATATATATTTTATTCGTTATTCGTATTCCTCCGGTATTCGGTTGGCAAAAATAATTTTGATAATGGAAGTAATGGAAGAAGAACTGTTATAAGCTAAAAATTTTTAGAGGAACCGTAACGAAAATATTAATAAATTTATTAAAAGTGAAATTGCAGAGAACTAAGCCGTGCTCCTCGAAATTTGCATATCTACCTCGCCAATGCCGCTCAAGGCGATATTGTCGTCACAATGAAACTCTCTCCAAAGCTCGCCACCATCCCTAACACAGTCGCATGGACTATGCAACGCGCGCGTGTCGCCGACGAGCTTTTGCCTCGCGTCACACGTGCCAAAGTTCACGAATTTCGATCGCGCATAAATATCGAGGCGATATAAATATAGCGCTGCGTTCTCTACCGAGATTCCTCGCAATATACTGCACAGCCAAAAATAAAGGCATTCCCTTGCGCAACGGGATTATTTAATTAAAAGTGCACATAAAATAGAATGGTGAAAGTATCCCGTGTATTTACTTTAATAATAATAAATTACATTGTAAAGCGTCCTTTTACATGTGCAATCTTGATATTAATTTCCTTATTTTCATTTTGATGAAACAGTTCGCGTAATAAAATATCTGCGTAAAGAAATTATTCTACGATGCGTTTCGAACATCGATGATTTGACTCTATTATTCGAAAGTGTGACCACCTAGATACTTCAATCCACTGCATTGTTTCGACTGGAATGCACGGAGAAGGATCGAGGAAGTAGAAGTCAGGAGGAGGACGAGAGCCAAGGAGGTCGTAGGTGTGAGGTACTGTTCGATGCCAGTATCTGAGACAGTTTTGGCCAGCAAGACTTAACAAATAGGTAAAGTTTCGTCGTGAGGATGCCGGAGTTTGTGAATTCTCCGGCGTAGCCTCGACATCCTCTCTCCTCTTTGTTCTCAAGTTTATGATGTATTAGCTGTTCCCCGTTGTACCCCTATCTCTCTCTTTCTCGTTCTTTCCCTATCCATCTTCCAGCGTTCCTTTCCTCTACCGTCACGATGTCTACTCTCTAGAGTTAGCCAATTTATGCAGCGCCGGGATTTAAGTTACAAAGCAAATTTAAACTTTAAGCAGTACTAGAAGAAATAATAAGAGAAGTTTATCGCCAAGTCCTCTAAGTTTGAAATAATACAATTGTATGATTAAAAAAAAAATAAGCAAATTTATCATATACGTACGGTCGAAATTATTTTGATTTGAGGAGATCGTAAAATATGAGAAAACTTCATCCAAGACGGTCGAGAACGAGAATATCGTCTTCGCCGGAATCGCCGTTGTTGAGTAGCCCGTATTTCGAGAAGCAATCAAAATTTTTGCTCGTCCTTCCACGCGGCACGCAGACGCCACGGGATTGCCGTCCCCGGGATTAATAAACTTCGTCGCGTTTCGGCTTAGCCCGTGGCGTAACTCCGTGTGGAGAAAATCAATACCCGATACACATCCCCAAAGGTCCGCTTATACTTGTCGCGCTATCTCGCTTTTATCTCGATCGTATCTCGCATATTGGCGTACGCCTAGCGTCTACACGTACGTCGCGCCACACACGGACACACGGACACGAAGGACACGTGGACACGAAGAGACACGCGTAACACGCCCGGCGAACACACGTATCGGAGCCGCCGCCCACACATCGTTTCCCACACCCTCTCACGGGCTCTTCGGGGTGACAGATGGCTTTGTAGACAAAGAACTTAGCCGACTGGTTTTCGTGGACGTTGCGTAACCCGATAAAAGCAAACCCAAGTCGATCGTTCCGACATGGCGGAATCGCCGCGCTTTCTCTCTCTCACTCTCTCTTCCCTCTCTCTTCCCTACGACTCTTCTCTTCACGAGGGGGCGATACGATGGGGTTGAAAATCAAATCTGAGTGTCTCGATGGAAATCTTTGTCCGGCCAAGATTACTCTTAGCCTCCCCGCTTCGCGACTCGGTCGCACTCCTCCATCGTTTCGTCCATCACCCCTTTAATCATCAATCAGATATTCCCCCTTGCGATGGGTTGGCGAACCATGTTGATCGCGACTGAAGCGCACTTTGGTGCCGTTCTAACGGCGATTAGACGATTAGGAGCGTCCTTTGCTGGAAGGCACATTACGATCGTCGAGTATAGAATTAGCCGCGGCCATTGTATGAGCGTAAATGCTATTGACGCTCTTACGTACCCGCGTTAAACTCTTTTCCATCGTAACGCGGAGTATATACGACGCTGCTACGCGTAACAGACTTAAAAATAGTTTCTAATGTGCCGTCGAGGGAAGTACGTACGCCGATATATCAACGAGCCGCACAGTTATGACGTACGACGCGTTGTTGGAAACAGATTTATAATTAGTTTCCTGTTGTTGCGACACCGCGTAAAGCATATGTACGCTCTCGTTAGGTGTAGAGCCAGCTTTGACGATTTTACCTCCGCTACGCTTGTTCGAACATTGACACGATATTTCTGGACACGGGTTATATATTATACGTGTTATTCATTGTACATGATGAATCAGTTGTGCCCCGTGTGTCGTACGAATTGCTATACGAAATACTCATTCGTTAAACTCGAATAGTAGCACGGCCATTAGCCTATATCATATTATTATTTGCCATTCTAAGTTTGTAAATATTTCATACGTTAAATCCTGCTAATGTGCTTGGCACGCGTTAAATTTTTTTATTTTACCAAACTTACCATTTATATTTTTTTAAACGAGAATAATAAACTTATCGGCATCAAAAGTGATTGAAATTATCGTCTGATCGATGCTTGTAAACTTTGTTCATGTTTAATGTAAAAGTAATTTAATAATTTTTAAGTTGGTATTATTTAATTGATAATCCTTACAACACCGTTGACAAATCTTTTATGATAATAATAATATCATGCAAATGATTTTTTATTTTTAAATTATTGAATTATTTTTAATAAATTCGTTAATTTAAAACTATCAAAATAAGAATTTAGAGAATCTAGACTTAAGAATCTATAACTCTTACAGTGAAACTGACTCTTAACTAATGATCTAGCTTACGATAACGATACTGTCCTTAAAAATTAACAGAAAGGCGTTACAGACAACATAAAGATTAGGTTGTCAAATCTTAGGCGATATTTTTTATCCTATGAAAAGATTATATTATCCATGATACATATTATGAACGAACAACCGGATACATTCTTAAAAAGAAGTATCTTAGGAGATATGATATAATAGATAGGACAGAATCTAATCTATAAAGATTTAGGAATAAATTTATGTTTTCCTTTAAGCATCTTATTCAATATCCCTCCTCCCACCCCCGAAATTTATTAAGATTAATAATTTATTTATTCAGACTAACGCCAGGATCAATATATTATGTCGCAACTGTCTTCTTTCGCATGGCTAAAGCATCTAATGAAAAAAAGATAAGCGATTGCGATTCGAGTAAACACATTTCGCTTCAAGAGACAGAAAAATATGAAATTGTAGATTTTAACTTTGGCTTTCTCTTTTCTTTCTTAAATTAACCTGACTTCGCTGAACCGTAACATGAAATACTAATTAGTAAGATAAAGGTAATGTTGTTCTCATTAAGATGAAAATCCTGAGCGAAAATCCTAAAAGCGACTCGAAATAAATCTGCCAATACATCTTCAAAGTTTGCGCAAATATAACTCTCTTACTACATTAAACATTATTATTTGAATAGCGTAAACCGAACGAGTTTCTGTTGCACATTGTCGCCCATCGAGAAAGATCTAGAATTAATATGATTAATGCAAAGCTTGAGTAAACCTATATCACAAACGATATACTCAGTTATATCTGAAATGGATTGAAAAAAGATGAATGGATGGAACATGTGGCCTCTCTCTCAGGAGACGCCCCCCTCATTTAATCGTCAAAACTGGGATGTTTCATGAGAGGAAAAGAATGATAAGTAACAATCAGAATCTTAACAAAGATTCATATATCAAAGTATTATATATCAAATTTTATCATGTGTTTGTAATACATCCTCAGAAATTGTCATCTTCAGAAATAAATTTTAAAATATATAAAGAAATAAAACACAAAAAGTATTTGTCATGTCTATATGTCTTGATGGTTTGCAGGAGTGATTTCGAATAAAGGTATATAGGATTTCTGCGGTTATCACTATTAAGTATCCTGATACGGGACCTGGATTTCCTTGTAGGAAGGACGAAGCAACAAGTGGCTTCTTAGCTTGGACAATCTTAGCTCAACAAGTGTCTCACAAGTAAACACACATCTTGAGAGTGTCTCGTCTCAAAACACAAATTCTCGCCGTAAAATAATTCTTCTTTTAATCGCCAGTTATTATCCCGTAACAGCGTTATAAATATCGCATGCATGTTTCACGATTTCGAGACATTGACTCGATTTATGAATATGAAGTTTAAATATAAAATGAATTAAATGTATTAAATATAAAACGAATTAACTGAATTATTACAATTACAATGATTTTATCAATGATTTGTAGTTTTGTTTAGATATCAATACATATTGATATTTACGCTTCGTAGTTGTACTTTGATAACATGTAACGATCGATCTTAGAGATGAGACTAATTTGAAATCATTACAAATTTTTGATATGTGTGTATAATTTTGTATGTATTATTATATTTATATATTTTTAATAATTATTAGAAAATATATTATAATTAAGAATAATACTATATTTTATAATAACAATAATAATATATTTTTAGATAATATCATTGACATATTTTTAGAGACATCATGTGACATTGACATACGTCAAAAACTTTTAACAAAATTGCAAAACATTGAATTACGTGTTGGTGTAAAAGATATCCTTTTTCAAAAAGATTTTTCAATA